GTTCAAAACATTTCTATAAACTTCTTTGATATTCTTTGTGGCTACAGAGGGGTTGTTTCCATTCTTATATTCAAACATATGCGAATGCGTGTCTCATCATGTGCTATCACTATAAAGGATTAGAGTACTACTAAATTTTATACATTATATAGGCTACACTAACATAATGTTTAGGTGGTTTGTTTAACTATTATACATGATGTACGTTTTTGGGGGGGTGTTTAATGAAAATGTTCCAAAACGCGATATTAATTTCTTGACGACCTAATAGAAGTGATAAACAATTATCTGAAAAGTAGAGACACTGGAGCCGTGAAATTTTGTGTGGCAGAGACACCATAATTTTTATGCCCCAAAATGTATGTAGTGTGATAGCTATCTTCATGTAATGTAGATAAATATGCATGTGTGTATACGTATATAGATTTAGTTTTGTGTCTGTATGTGTATATATATATAAATTTTTTTTCAAGTCAAAACTAGGCTAGTATTGCATGTATGTGAGGCTCTTGAAAGAAGCTATCACAAGGTACTGGTTGCCTGCAAGGATACTGATGTATTGGTGCTTATGATACATTTCCTTGATGACAAAGTGACATAAGTTTGGATGGATATCCTGTGCATCAAGTAGCTATGAAACTTTTACAGTCCATCAAAATCGACTTTGTAAGCTTCTTTGTCATGACATATCATCATTCAATAGATGAGAAGATACCTAATTGGAAGACACCTTGAGTTTCTCCATGATGTTGGAACATTGCACAAGCTCAAGAGTTTGACTGTAAGCTGTATGGCATCCCTGAGCATACAGATTTTAACCATGCAAGCCAAAACTATCTAGAAAGGCCAAAAAAGTCTAAAATGTGTTTCTACCAACAAAAGATGCCATGCAGCTTCACTTGGAATAGGAAAACTGCCAAGCATCCATCTATCTTCCAGGTGACAAGGTGTTCTTCCTGTGGATACTCAGGGGTGGACCAAGGGACCACAAAGTTTGAAGAATGGTAGTCTGGTCAACACTACGAAGTTAACAACCTGTGGACGCAGATAAAATGCAGCAATTCTTAGCGTAAATGCTTCAAATTTTAATTAAAATGCACTCTAGAATGTGACTGTAATGTAAAAGATTGCAGTAACTTAGCAGGCCAACATACACACATGGTTTTAATTATCACAAGTTGTTTATTGTGTACAAGAGAACATAGAAAGTTATCCTCATTATACAGAATAATATAAATATAGCTCACATGTCTGTTTAACACAAAGAAGTGTAAAAACAAATGCTGTTTTTAATACCTATTTGTGTTCAAAACCTCATTTATACTTAAATGTAAAATAAGATGTTTATCCTTTCATAATCCAGAAAATGAATATAATATTCCCTAAATATTAGTTTCCTGCAAAGTAAGACCAAGTATATGACAAAACAAAGGAAAAGTAAATTTCATTTGTTTTGACCTTTGTGACCTTGAAAATGACCTTTAAAATTAAAATCCAGGTTGGTATCCATCCAAATCTGTCATCCTATGTAGAGTTGATTAAGCATTGGTACATACTTTTCATAATACATACCATCACAAGAAGCAAATCAATGGTTGGCCAAAAGATTTAGTGGATCTATGTAGTTTATTTTTATAAATATTGCCTTTGTTCACAGCACATTAGAGGTCTATTTTAGCCTTTGTGGCTCTGTAAATTTTCACAGAAAAGCTTGGAAAGTAAAAGGCTAACTATCTTGATGCTCGTGTATTGATTCCAAAAAGCAATGTCAAGATGGGACAGTGGTCTATTAAGAAAGGACTGAAGGAACAGGTCTCAAATATATAGTAGTGCCACAAATGGACAAAGGAGGGAGGGTAGCGATAGTTTTATCAGCATATAATGATAGATGAGCTGATAATGTCTTCAGATAAGGCAAAAATAAATTCAGATGGTGCTACAGCTATATATTTTTATCTCAAATGAAATGGTGAAACGCAAATCTAAAGCATACCTCTGCTTCAATACTAATGTAATCTATTTATGTATTTCAAAACTGAGGAAAAACAAGACAATTGTATGTTTCACAAATACATAATTTATTCACAACCAGTAAAGGTAACTGAAATGATTTGTAACAGCTTTACATATGGTTAAACAAAGGATGGGAAGTGACCTTGACATTCACCTGAGACAAGTGGGGTAAGAAGTGGGGGAGCTTAAGTATTTCAGCTTAAGTGATGTTATTCAGTCTTGAGTTACATTTCTGGTAAACAGCTGATGAGTTCTGATACTGAGTAAAAGACCTCTTGAGCAGTGACTTACGGCAGACATAAAATACACATGAAATGTTTTTACACACCTTTGATTCAAAGTCCCTGATGAACTACTTAAAAGGAATATGAGTTGAGATGAAATTTCAATTATTTGGAACTCAAAAGTAATAATGCACAAAAGTAAGACATAAACAAAGGTGAACTTAACTTTCAAGTATAAGTTACCTTTGCTTAAGTCTCCATTTCAGTTGACAATAAAAGTAATTGTTTTTATAGGGTAACAGATGTTCTTCTGAGGAAGCCTATGTAGTCTGACATGAAAAAATGTCAATATCTGTTTTTGTTATGAAGTCAACCCATAGCCGATTACTTTTAATGGTGTGATTACTCTAGACATCACATTCAGTAAGAAAAAAAAAATGTTGTACATATTTACATAAAATGAAAGCATTTCCATTTTTCCTCTTTAATATCATGATCAAAGTAAAAAAAAAACTTTATTAAGAAGCAATCATTTGTTAGATTAAAACCATACAATTTCCATAAGTACAATTAAAAATTGTAATATTTTGCATATGTTCAACTAATTCTTTGACAATCAAATCACAGTTATAACAACCTTTAAAATAGAATGTTCAATAAAAAACAACTAGTCTAAAATGTCATATTTGACAAAAGTTCTTACCTATTGCAAATACATGAGGAGATAATACCCCTAGTGATTTTCCCTGGTACTTCTTAATTGTGTCCGAGGAGTACAAGTTTTTTATTTCAAAATAGGGATTGACAGCAATCAGTATGTTGGCAACATATGTCTGGAAGTCCAAATTAGTATACATTATTTTATTTAATTCACATAAAAACAGATGGATAACTGGAACATAAGATATTTTTTGTAGCAATTAAGAGAAAAGAGTATTTGAGATACTTTTAAAAATAACTTAAAACAAGACATAGACCTTATTCACGTGGCATAAACCTGTTATATGCAAATAATGCTCAATGACTGACAAAAAGAAAACAGATGTTCAACATTTTACTCACCTGTAGTACAATGACAGTAACAGTACTAAAGAAACTGCAATGTGTTAATCATTAATCCATAATTTGTGTAACATTACATCACTATAATTTGAAACAAATCTTTCTTTACTAGCCCTATAATGTGATTTTGCAGTAAGAACAAAACAGCATCTTGACCTCACACCAAGTGTGCCACTGTAAAGATGGCACTTCACTCGGCACCAGAGCTCATCGGGTCAGCAAGGAGTGCAATACACAAGGCTCTGACCTGGTAGAGATATTATTCATATCAGTAATTTACTATATATATCTATTACTACTGTATATAATGCTTTTTGTTGGTGAAATGTGATATACTAATCAGTAGATTGTATGTCATTACATCACAATAAAACTGATAATAATATTGTTGCTTATGACAGATTTGACTATTTCAGTTTGCCTTTCATAACTGCTAGCAATACTTAAATAATCACATATATCAGAAGTTTTGATAAATAAAATTATTTTAACCAGCATGACAAATGCAATTTGCGTAAAGAACAGCAACTACTTGTCATCATTATCTAAAGTTGATTAGCTTCATTGCTAAGGTTTAACTTCCCGAGTGTGTAGAAAAATATTTGCTTTAGTGACACAGACATGAAGAACTTGTTAACTATGGTACTGTATATTATGCACAAAGCCTGATCTAAACTAATTATATGCCTGAAGACTCTGATATGATTCCATGTTCTGAAATATGAAATGGTCTGGCATTTTGATGAGAAACCAGAAAATATTTTCAAATTTAACTGGTGGCCACATGTTCTCCATGTTTGTTTGCCATTCTGTAATGAGCAGATTGTAAATGTCTGTCAGTAGTACTGGTTCATCCTCATAATCATACATTTATTCACATATTCCTTTTCAATCAATGTTTTTTTGTTATAGTGTTCACTGTTTGTAAACCACAATTCCTCATCCATTTTGTACACAGTCTTGTTGCACTGATCTATAAGCACTGTTCAATGCAAGTGCTTACATTTTTTTGCCTACAATTAATCTTGTACAACTAGAAGGTACCAATAAAACAATAACATGCATGAATAAGATCTATATATATTGTCAACAGTATACAAGCAGCTTTAAAAAGTACACGAATACTTGTAAATAAGCATAAAAAGTTTAAAAATCCCATGTTTCTCAGACTTTTAGTAAATTAACTAAATTCATGTGTAGCAATTCATGTGTTAATGTTGGTTCATATCTTTCATAATGTTAACAGCAACATTGCTAGGACACAGCAAAAAGTTATGCATTGTTATATTAATCCATTAAGTGATATAATATTTACTTATAATAATAAAACTTAATCATTTTTATATATTTATCATTCTCATATTTTACCACTCCCAATTTAAACCATCATGTTCAGGGCTACAAAAATATGGCCTCCACTGGTGCAATGAAATATCTGGCAAATTGTGATACAATATTCTCGAACAAATAAGCTGTATTGCATTTTTTAAACCATAAAGAAAAATAAGATGAACATCTCAAAAGTCTAATCATCTGTAAATCCTTGTTGCAAAGGCTTGGTCTGATTTGTTGACTCATCAGCAGCTACGCATGGAAACAACTACTCTACTATTAAATGTCTACTGGTGATAGCAGTCCACTGCTTTGCAAAAACCTAGGGCAACTCTAGTAGGATTGAAGAGCTATACACAAACTGATGATTTTGCAACTTGCACAGTTTATTACTGAAGCTACTCTACATTGTACAGGTCATTGCTTACAGCTTTATTGTATTGTGAAACAAATATTTAAATTAAAATGCTGTAAAAAGTCAAATATGGTATTTATTAACAAAACAGTTTACTTTTTACTTCTCAACTTTATATGAACTGCTTCTTGTTACACTTATTTTTCCACTTGATTCAACTACCAAAACTGACTTATCAGATTAATTTGGGGTAATGTTTGATAAAACACATTATGCAACAGTCTACTTTTAGACTCATATAATTTATTCCAAGTGACAGAGCTTATATAGGCAACATTTACAGTTATATTATAAAGCATAAACAAAATACTGCAACAACAACAAAAAAAAATGTTATTCTTTATGGTGTCAAACAGCTGACGGTTCATCACTTTTGACTTCAAGGTCAAATGTAGCTGCCACATAGCATTGTGAGAAACATGCTAGAACATATTCCTGGTTAGTGAGACTCCTTCTGATAGATAATTTTGTCTCAATTTTAGCTGGTTTCTAGAAAATTTAGCTAGATATTACCTTTTTTAGAAATTTTTGGAATCCTGATCATGTTACTACCTCAAACATTCAAAGTGTATTTATAATCATGTAAATTAATACATTTTAGTAAACATTTTGATCCATTAGTATTAAAGTACTAGCAAAACTGGGAACACTAATTTCAGGCCTCAGTTTATGTATCAACAAACTCTCTTTATTTAGAAGCTCTGTGCATCATTGGTCCTAGTTCCACTAGTACTTTAATGCTAAAGCTAAAAAAATGTAGTAGATGTTGTTTGATAGAAGGTTTTGATCCACATGACGACTTACAGTGAATAAATTTAAAACTACGTTAAAAATTCATTGAATTTTGATTTTGGTCTAAAATTAGAAAGAAGAACTATAATCAGAAATTTTTCAATTTTAGACAATAATTGACTTAATAATAATTAGCTGACATGTTATTACTAATTCCTCTGCAGGCCTAATTGTAAAAAATTGTAAAAAAAATTATGCGTATTGTGGATAGGTAATTTGAGTTTTAAAAGTCATTTGACTTTCTAAAATTTTTTGATACTATGGACAACCTTTACAATAAAATTAAGCTTCAAGGCTGTTTAATGATTGCTTTTGATATTTGTGAAAAGATAAACAAGTACTATCTGCATAATCCCTAATTTTGATCTGATAGACTGGAGGGAAGACAGCTAGTTAACAGCATTTATTGCTAAGTCTTGGCCTACTCTAATCAGATAATGGAATCTAACTGTTACTTTTATAATGCACTAATCACCCCATAGAGCAAAGCAAGATTTTGCAGTTATGAGACACTAACCACAAGTCCTCAGACTGATTGTCTGGCATGCTAAACTCTAGGCCACATCCAGCTTTCTAGGCTTTCATGTTACATTTATTTTTCACAAACTTTGTAGCTTATGAATGAGCTCTTCATCCAGAACAACACACTGATAAATATAAACATCTAAAGAGGAGCAACTGAATGAGCCTGAAGGCTTAATTATTTTGAGATAAATATAATTTGTAAATAGCCTGCAAATATAATTGCATTGAATTATTCTACCATAGTTAAAATAACACTCAAAACTTAATTTTTACAACTTATTAATATTGTTTTTAGAACTATCAATTTTTATTGTAATGCATGAAATAAAAAATTTAAATCTCCTGAACAGAAATAACCAATACAAAAAAAGATGTTTTTGCTGCTGATATACACATTCTACATACATATATCTGATCCCTTTGGTATCTTACACGAACGTTGTTCAGAAGTGTTGCCTCATTCAGATACATGAGTGCACCTATTCAGAACAAATTGCAAAAGGTTAACACTGTTTAAAAGTTCAAAATGACTAAAAGTACAGTAAAAATAACTTTAACTAAAATCACACTGAAAAAATAGCTAAAAGGTCTAAATACAGTAAAACAACTTCAACTAAGTACAAAACAAAAAAAGGCTTAAAAACCTAAACATCTTTAAAGAATTTTTACAACAAATACAAGTAAACTTCTGGTGACTAAATTTAAGTGTAATTATACAATTAAGAGTGAATTTTAAATTTTATTATGTACAAATACAAAATATTATACTTCAGAATAAAACTTTGCAAGGACATGCTTAACAATTTTTGAAAAAGTAAAAACCACAAAAAAAAACAAACTAATATTATCAAAATGCTATTGTGACTGAAATATGCTACTGCATATAACAACTTTCAACAGAATTTCAGAAAAGAAACACTTGAAATACCACATCGGTTCGAATATCAACCAATAAATGTGTTAATAAAATTCAATTTTTGTGCTTTCAACAAATAATTTCAATGTCACTAAAAATTAACACACATAAGAAAAACTCTAAATGCAAATAATCCCTGCTAGAAAGTTATAACCCATCTTTCAACTATGTACCACTAAAAGTTTTTAATAATTTGTATGAATGCTAATATCCTTTTGCAGTAGAGTACATCCTTTGAGTCTTTGAATTCACCTCCAGTGAAAACTGCACATTGA